CGTGCGTCATAAACCCTTGTAAATTTCTTTGCATCCTCTGAAAAACAACAACGTAGAATGACCAAACTTTGCGTTGTCTGGGTAACGTGAACCATGACGGCTAGACTTTTCAAATTCCTATTTCTAATTCAACGCTGTGTTCCATATTCAGTTTCGAGATAATTTTGACAGTGAGAAACAAGCTAAATGACTTTACAGTATCGCAAGACTCGTAGGTAAAAAATAAGTTCATTTTTTAACCAACGTTGTCCACGGCGTAGCTGTCGTCGTTGCTTAAACTCCCTATTGACGAAACAAGACTCCCCACGAAACAAAGAACAAACACACCATACCAGTCTTGTAATAATTTCATTGAAAATATCAGCATCGTGCAATAAAATAAAATTATTCCTTATTATTTCAAGAAGACTACGAGAAGTCCCTCAATTTTGGAGCAGTTCGTTGCACGAGTCAACAATTTCAGCAAAAAAATTAATTGATGGTAGCGCGTGTTTCAGCAAAAAAATTAATCGATGGTAGCGCGCTACGTGGAACTCTGGGAGCGAGGTGCAGAGCGTTACGTGCTCCTAGGAGTTCTGCGCGGCGCGCAAATATTTATTTGCTTTTTCCGCTGTATATTTTTTCCGTGATGGACTTGGCCGAAAAGGAGGGACCGCTCGTGATCAAATTCACCGTACTATAATTAGACAAATAACAAGCGAAGGAGAAGGCAATTGTTTGATGACTTAACTCAGTAACTCTACGGGCCCCTGGTGTTATATAACAGCATTAAATGCCACGTGTACATTATCATACACTGGAAGATCCTTTTTTTCAAAATGGCGGTTGAACATTGAAACTTTTCAACGTTCAAGTAAAGATGATTTCACTATCACTGCCTCGAAGACGTGACGTTACTAAGCCACAGAGAGATTTAAAATCTCCCTCTTTGAGCCATCAGACCCTTTGGCAGCTATGCAATTTCTTATATGCAGCTATGCAATCTAACGAATTGTGGAATATTAACCCACTTCACGAACAATCCATTCAATCGCTTATCCCTGGAACAAGTTTCCGTCCGAATAGCCCTTCAACTCGAGAACTAGCCCTTCAACTCGAGAACTAGATTGCATTATTATTGATTACAACTTCTTCAAGCACAGGAAACTAACCTCTTGGTTAGCATTTAACTGATCCTGTGTTTAATCAAACTGAACAACTGAGAATTCGACAAAAACTTTATAACAGATATATATACACAATTCACCTTTTGGGCTTCAGATTTCACGTGTAGTGTCACGTGACTTTTGATGTAACCAAACCCCGAAAGTTTGGACATTGAGTCGAGCTCGCGGCACATAACTTCGGCTTTGGCAATTTCAGTTCCTTAAATAACTCCCCACTTTCAAGAATCGTTTATTCGCTCAAAATTGACATCTTTCTTTTATCATTTACTTGGTTGGTTATCAAGAAAGTTGTTATTTTGCTGCCGTTGAAGTAGATGTGAAGAATGTGACAGGAAGAATTGTGGCGTGGAATAATCGAACTAGTTCTGCGTACAGTGATGTATCTGATCAGGTATTTCCAGGATGTTAATTGCGTAGGTTGTCAAATAATTATAAACTCACGTCTGATAGGAGATTAGTGCCCACGAATCGCTGTAGAACGTAGAAGTAAGCGTTGATTTCCAAAATTAAAACCTATTTCAACTCTATGAACGTTTACGATTTCAGTTGGTAAGTAAGTGTGAAGAATTTCGTTATGGACAAAGTACTAGACTGAAAGAAAACCTACCACTACACAGGTAGACAAATTAACTTATACTTAATAAAGGTCTATTTTGTAAAAAAAAGTTCACGTCCAAGCACATGTAGCAGAGTTAGACAGACCATCGTTTTTCACATAATCTATTTCTGGTTATATTGTAGGCATAAAGAAGGACTGCCTAACCAAAACACAAAATTGTTATTATGTATGTAAACATGTTTCTTTATACATTGTAAGAAACAGAAATTATGTTTACAATATATATTTGATTACACTGACAATTATACACTCACTTGAACTAGAAAAAAAGTATTGTGTCAGTGATCATAGCATTTGTTGGATGCTTTTCACATCTGTCTGATAAATTTTCAGACCAGAGTGTTCAACACTATCTGGGGTAGATGTGGCGGGGGAATTTTCCGGTTACAAAGTTGACAAATCTAGAACTTCATGAAAATCTGGTTGTGCAGAGGAGCTGATAAGAGTATCTCCCTCAAAGTATACCCCACATAAAGTAATGATATTATTGCAAGAATAACTTGGCTGCTGAGCTGCAGAACTGATGGTCTGTGAACCATAGCTTTTTAGAGATGAGCAAACCTCCCGTTCATCTGTTGAGTCCATTTAAAAAATATATAATAGATGACAACTTATCAGTATCACTGTCATAAAAATCTCTAGCTGAGTGACCTTATAATTTATCCAACTCTGTGTAGAGATCAGAGCTCTGAAAAATATTAGAAAGTAAAAATTACAAATTAACTGTTAACTTAATTCATATTGTTGGAGTTTCGTTCTATAGTTTGTTACCCTTTAACTCCTAAGAGTGACTAACTTGTAAATTCCTCCTGACAGAATCGCCCTTAAATCAAATATAAAGGTCACGAGAATAAAAAATAAAAAATTCAAGAAGTTCTTGATTGTCCAACAAATTCTCCTTGTCAGTGTTATTGTAAATTTAAGAGGACAGCGAGGAGAACACGAATACTAAAGAGTGTAAAGAATTAATCGAAATTGTTTTCCCGACGCAAACGACGCTTTACGAGTAACAGGCGTCTTACGTATTAATTACAAAGCCCTGAGTGATGCCGATAGAAGGAGTACTTACGTCACAGTCTTCAAAGAAATGTC